GATGTTATTCCCCTTCCTGCACAAGGATTTAGCCAAACTGGACTTCTTTCTCTTTGACACTCCACCTCTCATATTTCCCTCTTCAATTCCACATCAAACACACACACATATAAATTTATATGTATATACCTGTATATATATATATATATATATACACACACACACACACACACACATATATATATATATACATACATACATATATGTATGTATGTATATATATATATACACCACACACACACCACACACACATATATATATATACATACATACATATATGTAGGTACATATATATGTGTGCATATACACATGGATATGTATTACTATATATATATGTATGTGTGTGTATATATATACACACACACACACACACACACACACACACACACACACACACGTATATGTATAGACATATTCTCAGACCCCAAGTTAAGAAAAGCTCTCATTGAATCTCCTTCTGCCCTCTCTAGTTTCTGAAAGGTACTCAGAATAAGACCTCTCACTCCTCTAACAAAAAGAGAACTGAGGCAGAGATAAACAACTGATCCCCACAGATTGTGTTGGGTCTGAGAGAGAAAATTTATCTGCTTTCTTCAGATGGAGACATTTCTTTTTTATCAGATTAATAGTATTGCCGGCCATGGTATTCATAGGCTATGTCATTTTAGGACTAAACATTGCATCTATCCTTGATACACATATGTTTTTCCCCAGTTCTTTTACATGAAACTATTTTTTTTTCTCTTTAGTTCCATGCATTGGGATTTATAAGGAAGGAAAAAAATGGAATTTTGATGAAATGCTGTCTTACATTTAAAAAAAATGTGTGAAGGATTTCCAACTTTAAAAATATGATGTAGGCCCAATATTGAGTAGTACTTATTTGCCAATAGCTGACTATTATTCCCTTGGGGAACTGGTATAGAAGCAGAGTGAAAGAAGGGAAAGAGCATTATTATGAGTCAGCACTCTTCTAATTTTGAAACTTCTTACATCCATGAAGAAGAGCTCTTGGCCCTACATTCTATACAAGAAACCTTTGATATTGTTACACTTTTTTACTTGTCCGTACTATGTTTATCTTCCTGCCTCATTCCTTTCTACCTCCATTAAATGTTAAATGAGCACAACATTTCTGAGCAGGGCACTCCAGACTCTTGCCATGTGCTTGTGAATCTTATTCAACAATCAAGAATGAAGTAATTTCTCTCCAGGTTCCCCATTCCCTCTGGGAGCTAAATAGTTCAGGTCTGTATGTCAGATGGGAGTAGTTTAGACAAGAAGATATCTTCAGTTCAATTGAACTACTGAGTTTAAAAATGACAGGAATGAAAATTTTCTTCTCACTTTTCTTTCTTTTCATCTCCATTGTTTCATATACCCCCAGCATTACACACACATAACACATTTCTCTCTACAAACTCGAGGTCTTGTAAGATCTATCTAATGTATAGGTAGAGGAGGTGTTTTCCTTTCTAGGAAATAAAGAAGAATTACATAATGCTTTGCAATTAAATTTCATTGGTGGTCATATTTCTGTTGAAAGGCAGATTAGTCACTGGACTTCTGTCTCTAATAATTCTTGGTTTTCCTTAGAACATATTAAGGTTATAAGTAAGAATGTTTCAAAACCAGAAAAAAATGAAATGTGAAAGAATGAGAAAATACTCCCAAATCCCCATTTCTGTCATTTATAAAGGGCAACTGAGCTATGTAGATAGTCAGCCATCCTCAGCTTTGGGAAGTCCTCTATCACATACTGAAAATGGGGACAGGAACTTAGTTATCAATTTTTGTAGGTGCCGCAGGGAGTTCCCCAAACAGAGGAAATCACACAGGTATATCTTTAAAAAAATGTCTTCAATCCTGATGGACAGTTCCCTAGACTATTAATTTTCTTTCTCTTCCTTGATGTCATCCTTTTCTCCTTTTCATCATTTCCAGCCTTTACCTCTTCTCTCATTTTTCTGTTCTCTTATATCTTTTCATTTAATCCCCTTTGGTTCACTCCCTAGTCAGCACAGGTCCAGATCTTAAGCAAAAATTCAGTTCAGTTCATTTAGGACAACATATTGTATTTATGGCCTAATTAAGTAGTGGTTAGTAGGTTCAGTAGGGTGTGGGGAATGATTCAAAGATCAAGATACCCTTTCTTCCCTTGCTAGCTTATAATCTTATAAGGAGCTTAAACTTGAAGAAACAAAGAACTGAGTGATAAATTTTTCCTGTCCAGTGTTTCATCAGAATTTATCTAAGTGATAAGTTTACTTGAGAAAGTTACCACAAGCACTTAAAGAATACTGGAGACAAAAGCTTCTAGACATGGTGATAAAAAGAGCATTAGAAGAGAGATACAGTATTTGTGTCCAGTAACCTAAGGAGCTGGAATTTGTTAATATGTAGTAGATGCAATGCACATGTTTTCCAAGATAAAAGTTTATTGACTGGAGCTGTAAAGCTGACTTAGAAAGATGAAAAGAAAAAGAGTTCTAACCTTTTTGAGTTATGAGAGTTCTACTAACCTCTTACTCTACAATTCAGTCTGTCCTTTGGGGAAAATTAAATTTTAGAGAAATTCATTTTCCTTATCTGCCATTTCAGGCCTAGGAGCTTTTACTTTGTGGATCACTTTGTTTTCCTTTGCATAACTGCTGTTTGTTTCTGGGATTGCTTGGGAATATCTGTCCCATTGTATTCTCCCAAGGCTGTCTTTCTGTATTGGCTAAAAGGTACACTCTATTGCCTGAGGAATGCCTTTGTGGATCTTTCAGAGAGAATAATGTGTTAAATTTACTTGAATAAACATACAGCATTGTTGTGGTGATTAGCATTTAGTACCTAATGGAAATGGTAAATAGGATATGTGAGTAGTTGTGGTATTTATTTGAAGCTGGCATATTTGCTTATCCAAATTCATTGCTTTTTTAGAACAATGAAGTCTTTATATAATTCTTCTGTTTACCAAGTTATGTAAGGTTTCCCTGTAGATAATCCTTTAAAAATAGACTGATTATGATATATTTCATTTGTTGAGGACTGAGAAGGGAATTATATATTTTTTCATGTAATTACATTTGATTCTAGTGAGGTTCGCAGGATAAGATTTAGAACTGGAATCAACATTAGGGGCATTGGTTGCAATGTTTTTATTTTACACATGAGGAAACTGAGGCAGGGAAAATTTGTAGTGTCATACAGCAAGTTGGTGTCTGAACATGGCTTTGAACTCAGATTTCCTGACTCAAGATCTAGCTCTATATCCAGTGGGCCACATAGCTGTCTATGTCTGTTATGTGTGCCACTACCCATACTATTTGCTTTATAATGTCAGTTCTCAGAGGATTCAGACTGAGCCTGTTAATTGGTTCTGTATGGCTCTTATTGAAGTAAAATTCCCAGGCACTTCATAAATGTAAAAAAATTGTAAACTACTTAAAGACATAATTTATTTTATCATAAAATACATAGCATATAATATTCACAGTAATTAATATTTGTATCATGTTTAATGTACTTTATAGGAGTTGTCTAATGTGAGATTCACAACAATCCTGAAGGAAGTAACATCTGAATTATTTTCATCACTATTTTATAGATGAGGAAACTGAGATTCATAAAAGTGACTTATCCATGGTTTCTTAGCTAATGTGTCAGAAGTAGGATTTGAAACCAGATCTTCTTGACTTTGAGATTTGCACTTTGTCCACTAAGTCAAGGTACCTAGCAATGTTTTAGGTTTGATTTATTTGGTGTTTCTGGAACTGAGTTGGTTAATAGTAATTATACTGATGATGTTGCAGAGGAATTTTAATCTTGGGTTTACCACTGCTCCTCTGACTCTAGATTTATTAATTCCTTCTGTTATGTCATAATGGTAATAATATGTAATTATCCAACTAGTTGTTCTGTCTATATGATACTGAATAGCTAAGAAGCTAATTTTACAATCAAAGAATCTAAGTTCAAATTATAGCTTTGCCACTTACTACTTATGTCAAGATACCTCACCTGCCTGGTCCTCAGGTTCCTCAAAAAACAAAAAGTATGCAATTGGATGGCTTCTAAATCTCTTTAACTCTAAATCTATTAACAAATTCCAGACTGACTGAATTCCTTTGAACTTATCCATCATGCTTCCAGAAACCTCATCACCTTCCCTGTCACATCAGCCTTGATACTCACCCCCTCATCAGTACCCTCTGATCCTAGGAGCTCTCTGATTGGAGAGTGAAGTGGAAAAAGCTCATCTCAGAACTTCCATTTATGGAGGTTGCCTAGACTAGGCATCTCCTCATTTTCCATCTAGCTGCATTTGTCTTGACCTTTCTCCTTTCTCCTTTTTTGCTCCATTTTGCATGTTGCCTTTCCAAATTTGATTATAAGCTATTTGAGGGCAAGGTCTATCATATTTCTTATTTGTATTCCCAGTACTTAGCACAGTTCCTGACATATAGTAAGAGTTTAATAAATGATTATTGATTGACTGTCAACTGATTAAAATTTGGCATCAAATGCACATGGATGTGTATGCTATATTTTTATATATATATATATGTGTGTGTGTGTGTGTGTGTGTGTGTGTGTGTGTGTGTGTGTGAATAATATATGTGCTTAAAAACACTGTGCTGATCTGTTGTTTAATAATTATCTAGGCATAATATACTCTTTCAGCATATCATCTGCTGATTTCTGCTTGGGCCATTTTTTACCAGCAAAGTATCTTCTTTCTTCAATTGCTTAGAAATATTTGAAAGCTTTTTCAGGCTCCCCAGTTGAGGTGTCCCAGGATGTCAGATGGCATTGTGAACCTCCAAACAGGAACCTACAACCACTTAGCTTGTGCCTATGAGTCTACTTGACATATTTTCTTTTAATAACTCGTAGCTGAATGTTGAGTGATCCCGAAATTAAGGTCAGCTTCTGGTGGTTGTTTTATATCAACTGTCAGATTGTAGAATAAAAAATGGCTTTTATGGGTTTGCTTTTTTATTGTTTTGCAGGGCAATGTCACTTTTTCCTGCTCAGAACCACAAATTGTTCCCATCACTTTTGTCAACTCAAGTAGCAGTTATTTGTTACTGCCTGGCACCCCCCAAATTGATGGGCTCTCAGTGAGTTTCCAGTTTCGAACTTGGAACCGAGATGGTCTGCTCCTGTCAACGGCACTGTCAGAGGATTCTGGAATCCTGCTGCTCTACCTAGAGGATGGGATGCTGAAGCTTATTATCCAGAAAATGACAGAACACTCCATGGAAATCCCCCCAGGTATCTGATCTTTCTCTTGCCCTAGTCAAATTTGTTTTTTAGTCATTAAACCAACCTTAGGATATTTGGCAGAGTTCTGATAAGAATTTAAGAGTATATCTGCCCATCATAGAGACAAGTTATTACTCCACTGCCCCTTCTTCAGGCTTCTTTTCATCTGAATTTTAGTCTGTGGTCAGGTCCTTTACTGCTGTATTCTTAATTATTTCGGTTAGCAATCATGTGTGTAATATGTCCAGGATCATACTGCATGACATGATAGTACATGATGGTACAGAAAAAATGAAAGGAAGGAAGAAAATTTTAGGATTAAAGGTGAAGTAAATGATGATGATGATTAACAGTAAACCAACCATAAATTTCAACAATAGTGTGAGATTTCATTGTGCTGTCAGAGTATTATTCATGGTCCATACACACACTTTTTTTTTTTAATTTCATCTATTTTTATGACAGCCTTTTATTTTCCTCTTTGTTGGGATATTTTGTTTTCAAAAAATAACAAATTATTTTTCAATTAGCATTTGTTTTTCACCTCTCACCTTCCTTTATGTGTGTGTGTGTGTATGTGTTTGCTTGTGTGTGTGTGTGTGTGTGTGTGTGTGAGAAAGAGAAATAAGTCCTTCTATCTTATATGCATTTTTTTTGCTTTGCATAGTCATACCCTTTTTATGGATTATTTAATAGAAACAAAGATGTACAATGCTGTGCTGAAAGGAACAACAGAATAGTGTAAAAACTTAACCTTAGCTCTGCATTTCCCACCTCATTCCCTATTAGCTTCATTTCTTCTATTTGTTTAATCTTTTCTCTATATAAATTAGTGTTTGCGCAGGGTTTACTGACATAGTTGGTAAGGACTCAGAGTGGAGGGAGGGCCTCTTCGTTTTTGATGAATGGGTCTCTCCTTGAATTGTACTTCCTTCCTTCCTTCAAATGATGTTTATGGTGTTCTCTTAAATTATGGAGGAGGAAGTTAAAAACCCTGAAAATTGTGTCATCTCTCAGCCCACTGAACAGTGAGTAAAGAGGCCAGGGTTGTTTTTGGTTTTTGATTGTTTGTTTGTTTGTTTTATTTTAAGCTTGCTTCATCTCTGACCATGTGATCTTGGTTAAGTTATTTCAACTTTTTATGCCTTACCATCTCCAGCAGGAGAATGGAAATAATAGCTGCCTTTATTCATCCGGCAAGAAATGAATTGAGAAACAATGTCAAATACTTCTCTGAGCTAACTAATCAAACAGGCCTTAATAAAGTGAGGTTTCCTTTTAATCCAACATTTTTTTATTGAGTGACTGACTATGCGAATCCACAGAAGGACTACTTTGATACTTCCTTGTTATGTGAAGTTGGCACAGGATCCTTAAAGTCTATGCTAACAGAGTGGTCCGGCAGGTCCTACCAAGCTGGAAAGACTTTGAATGTTTGCCAACTGATAGACTGTGTGTATCTATTTTTTGAGTACCAGCTTGTTGAAATAAGTCATTTTATCCCCTTGACAATAAGGTAATGAATTTTTAGCCCCAATAATTCTTGAGGATAATCTACTAAAACTTGAAGTTTTTCAAATGCATTGATAGAATGAATACCAGCAAAGATGAAATCCCAGATCCCTGACAGTATTGACATGTGTTGTGTACTTTGTGGTAGGGACTAAGAGAGGTAAAAATAAAGAAATGTAGGGGCAGCTAGGTGGCTCAGTGGACAGAGCACTGGCCCTGAAGTCAGGAGTACCTGAGTTGTATCTGACCTCAAACCAAAGGCTTGACACTTATCAGCAGTGTGACCCTGGGCAAGTCACTTAACCCCAATTGACTTAAATAAACAAATAAACAAATCAATCAATCAATCAATAAGTAAGTAAATAAATAAATGTGAGAATTGGCTCCTTCCTTCCAGATTCTAGATTGTCCCAAAATAAGTCATGTGGAAAATGGGTGAAAATGAAGTTCAGAGGAATGTAAAATCAATGTAGTAGTGGCCTAGGATGGCCACATGGAAGAGAATGGTTCTGGAATGAAGAATAAGATTTAGATTTGTGGCGAAGGAAGCAGTATCTTCTGTGTCAGAGGAAATAAACTAAAAAAAAAAAAAACATGGCCAAAGCTTGAGAGGAGGAAAGAGCATGGTGGATTCTGGGTAATATTGGAGGGATAGCCTCATTGGAGAAAAAAGTTTGAAATTGGAGAGCAAAAGACCAGATGTATTATACATTTAGATGTGACATGTAGACTTTGGCTGGAATTTGGAGGCACTGTGATCTTTCCTTAAAAATCAAGAACTTGAATGGGTCTTCCTGTGAAAATTGTAAGACCTAAGAATAATTTCCTCTACCCAGAAGGGTTTTTGAATGACTTTTTCACAGTTTTATTTGGGTTCAGATAATCATTGAGAATTCTAAAAGTTTCACCAAATAAACGAATCAATCATTTATTAAGTTTCTACTAAGCATATGAGAAACAAATCCAGGCACTGGAGATACAATGACAAACATAAAGTTATATTTTCCAGTAAGGAGATCTCAATATAGCAAAGAAGAAAACATCAACAGAAATAGCTGTATATAAAATCCAAACAAAGCAAATTTGAGACTCTGGAGTGGGGGGTGGGAGGAGAGCAAAAAAGGCCTCAGGCAAAAGGTGACACTTCAGAGGTTCTTAAAGCATATTTCTGAAGTGCTAGAAGCAAGGAGAGAAAACACTGCAGTCAAGGAAAAGCAAGAAACCAATTTCAGAGCTGTATGAGTCTGAGCTCAGACTTCCTGGATTAACAAAGAAAAATAAAAACTTGGTTGCAGTCTGTCTCTAATTGGTGAGATTCTTGAACGTGGAGTCTTGTAGGCCCTAGGTAAAAAATACAATTTTAATATTCTATGGGCCCTAGTGGTACTTTGCTCCAAAACATCCAGGTGGTAGTTGTATTATTAAGTGCATCTCAGTCCATTAAAACAGTTTTATGACTGGAAGAAAAACTTGTAAAAGCTGTCACACTCCCCTAGTGCCTGACAAAAAAAAAAAAAGCCATCCACCTCCTCTTATTTGCCTTGTGAAAATTACTCAAGTTAATTTTTTTTTTCTTAATTAGCCATATACTTCTGCTTACATCTGGAAAGGAACCTATCTGTATACTACTTGCATTGTGTACTTCCTTCATTTGGAAGATGGTGAACTTCCTGGTCATTTCTTCTAAATAGCTGATGACTTTTTTATTTTTATTTTTTTATTTTTTTGCTTCTCAAAATTTAGATTGCTTCCATAGTGACTCACTTATCAAGAGAAACAAAGTCTTCTGTTCAGATTTAAAAAGCCAGAGTATCCTCACTATCTAGACATAAACTGAATATACACAGCTTGGTAGGCTCCATTTCCTCAGTTGTAAAATGGGAATAATAATGGCATCTACCTTTCGAGGTTGTTACGAGAATAAAGGGAAAGATAATATTTGCAAAGAACTGAATATGGTGCCTGGCACATAGTAGGTGCTTATTAGATGCTTATTTTCCTCTCTCCCTCACTCCTTCCTTCCTTTCCTTCCTTCTTTTCTTCCTTCCATAGAACACTTCAGGAAGTACTTGGGAAACAATTCTGGATATAGTCATACCCTTAGGAAAATTGCAAATAGAAGCCAACGAAGTAACCTCCATTATTTGCAAGATACTGTAGAATTGTCCCCTTGGTTTCAGTAGTCAAAATTTTTAGTAACTTTGGTTGGCCTACTGATGTTGCTGCCTTGCAGGAAGTAGATATTAGTGTGGATAGATTAGGAATCAATATACCCAAGACATCTAAGACTTGTCCAGATCTCTCAATCAGAGAGACAGAAGAGAGAGAGAGAGAGAGAGAGAGAGAGAGAAGAGAGAGAGAAGAGAGAGAGAGAGAGAGAGAGAGAGAGAGAAAAGGAGAAGGAGAAGGAGGAGGAGACGGAGGAGGAAGAGGGGGAGGAGGAGAAGAAGGAGGAAGAGGGAAGGAAGGAAGAAGAGGTAGACTCCAAGTAACCCTAAGGAAAAAAAAACTGCAGTGACATATTTCAGAGACCTTGATTCTTGTTTCTAGTCTTTCATATGTTGTACATGATTTTTCTAATGTTATTTTGGACTCTTTCATTGGAAACAAAACAAGGAAGCAAAAACTAAATTCATCCTCAAAATAGAAGTTGTCTGAATGTAGTTGTTCCAGTAGATGAAGTATCAAGGAGTTAAAGCACATGATGAAAGCTCTCTATATTTTTTTATGCCATTCTGTTTAAAGATTGAAGTCATTTTTTTTCTCCCTCTTTTTACCTGACCCCTTCTTCTAGCCCTTACATATGTGGACGTGCATAAAAGTCAGGACAGTAGCAACATGTACTCCTAGAACCTTATCTGTTATCACTTTTTAAAAACTTCATATCTGAGGAAAATCTGTCTTATGCGTATATCTAAAGGATTCTATTGACTTACTGTAGGATCATAACATCATGGGCTTAGAGCAAGAAGGGTACATAGAGACCATTTATTCTTTGCAGTTCTCTTATTTTACAAATTAAAAAAAAAAGGAGATACAGATATGTTTTATAAGATCAAACCGGTGACAAGTGATAGTACTAGAACATAGGTTAAGGGAAACAAAGATATTTGAAGATGTGTTTAATCTTTGAAGTTGACACCAAGGAAGTGATGACATAACATGCAAGTGAATTGGATTTAAGTGAGGGAGGCTGGTGCAAACTCACCACCCTCACTTTCTCCCCCCACAGGCATCTAGGTGGGTAGCCCTAATTAGGATCAAGAAAAAGGAGACAGCCTGAAGGCTGAGGCTGACTTTTTGTTTACAAACAAAAAATTCCCTGCCTTTACTTTTGTTTCTATGCAAAAGTAAGAATTCCTGCCCATGCAGATGCCTTGCTTCTGGGAGAAGATTGTCTTACTCAGTTATACCTATCAGAGATCGACTGACCTTTTCAGAAGTAGGGTCCTAACAAAAATAAGAGGAAAAGAACAGATCAAAAAATAATAATTAGT